TTAAACAGTTTTTTGTGAAAATTTTATTTTTCACATATTGGCATTTTCAAGGTGTGACTTTAAAGTTCCATGATCTTGAAGACTTTTGCTTGTCACATTTTCTGAATGTCCATGTTACTAATATTTTATTAATAACATTTGATTGTCATTATGCTGTTAAACATTATGTAATGTTGCATCAAAATTTGAAGAAACCCCTATTTTGGGCACTGCTCCTATGATGACCATTTAAGGGAAATCATGTCACTTACTGATCTCAAACTTACAGGAAAGAAACATGGGTCTAACATACAGCTTCAATAGGCAACGCAGTCTGTTTGGTAAATTTTTCTGGCAATTTAACAGTTTTTTGTGAAAATTTAATTTTTCACTTATTTGTATCTTTATTTTCTGTTCTTTGTCTGTACATTTGACAGCTTTGCTGCCTTGTTTAGTAAACCGCTTGCCTCCCGATTTCACAGTATTTTTACTTTCTCTAAATTTTTTGAAAAAAAGAACTTATTCAAGAAGAGAACACTAAAAAAACATTAGACTTTATTTTTCTATGAGCTAATGAGCAAATGATTAATAGTACGCCCTGTGTTTTGCACTTTATGTTACAATTAACCCCTGAAACCTCTTTTTCCCCATGATGTGTGGTCTGGTATTGGAACATGTATTTCTTTACTGGCAAACACACTGAAATGTCTGTACATGGCATATTGAAATCATATAATGCTTTTTAATAATAAGATAATGATATCAATTTTACAGAATTTTCATACTCAATCCTTTATTTTTTTACCCAAATAATTAATCTGAAAAATTGAGTGAATTATGAATAATCGCTATTTCAATTATTATCATCATGGTTATTGTCAGCATTTAATCAGTTGATTGATTGATTTATTTTTTTTCTGTAGAAAATAATTCTTTTAACTTTATCTTACAGTAACGCGAAGTGCAGCTTGTGCCAGAAGGAAATTGACTCTTCAGAAAAGGAGGACAAAATTACAAGTGAGCAGAGTGACACCAGTCCCCAAGAAGAGGCTGGGTCACGGAGAGCAATACTGAAACTGAGGGGACAGAAGAGAACCAGATACAAAGAGGTATACTTATTGCTTTTAAATTGAATTGCCTCAAAGAGACTATGGCTGCATTCAGAACAACAGGCTAACTGATCCGTGGATCAAATATGGCCGTCCCACATGATGGCTTGTTACGCAATCCACACGGGGAATCTATTCAATGTATACTTGTGGATAAGGAATAGATAACAAACTTTTTAGCGTGTCGCCATATTTGGGCCATTGGCTAATTACTCCGCTGTTCTGAATGGGGTCTTTAACGCAGTATAAAGTATGAAACAAATTTCAAATTTCAAGCACCCAAAGAGGAGACAATGAGGCAACAGTGAAGATACTGTGTTGGTAAATATAACTTATTTGCATGTAGTAACGTATGAGTAATTGAAGGATAATAAAAGCAAAGTCGTATATTTGCAAATGAATGTTATGGGCATCATCTTAGATAGCCAAAAGTCTGTCATATTTGTATTAAGTCTCCTGTAATTTTGATAATGACTAAATTGGGAAGTTTCCATCTTTGCTTAAATTGTCTTTCAGGACCCACAGGTAGATTCCAAAAAGATGAGATCAAGTATCGATGATGAAAGTTCATCCCAAAATGCAACGTGCATCAGCCAAAGCCAGAAAAGCCTTGCTACAGCTAAGAAACCAACTTCTCTTGGGGCCACTGTTGGAGATATTTTGACCAAGGATCTCAGAGAGGGAGAAACGCAGTTCTTAAAGACACAAAAAATCTTGGCACCAGAGACATGTGCTCTTGACCTAATTGATCCCATCGATGAAAGTTTCAATGAAAATATTTCAGTTAAAGACATTATACTGAAAGGACTTGAGGAGGATGAAACTCAGAGAAGAAAACCTCAAAACGTTTTGGCATTAGAGACTTGCCCAGAAGAGACAATCCCAGAATGCTCCACACTAGAGACATCTCATAACCTTGACCTCTCACATGACCTTGAAAACAGAAAGGTCACTGACACTGAAACTGAAACAGACAAGAAAGAAATTGTTGAGGAGTTGGGAAAAACTCTTGAATGTACTGATTTGGGCTCAAAAGAAGAGCTTCAAATAGTAGCAAAACAAACCACGGATAGAAGAGGAAGAAAACTAGAACAAAGTAAGTCTTTTCATAGATTGACAGACAGAACAAGTCCTATTGAAGAAAGTATCCAGACCTTGATAACAAGAGTTCCAGAAACTGTCAATATTGAAGACCATGATGATGATGATGATGATGATGATGATGCAAAGTCCAATGCAGACAACAGTCAAAATAGTATTGCTATGGACAATTACAAGAATTCCACCAAACATGTTTATAATGCATATGCACAGCAAGATGCCACCATTACCAATCATTGCCTTACAAATGAAGACGACAGGCATAACAAGAAGGCGGTTACCAGGAAGACAGTTAAACCAATCAATGAGGTCTACAAACAAAAGGAGACACAAGTTCATGGTTACAAAATGAAAAGAAGTGATGGTGATAATCTATTTGATCACAGTGTTGTTAGCCCCCCTTCTCCCCCTCATGCCAGTACCCCTGTGGAACCCCGAATCCACAGAAAACAATATGGCGGACATTCCCAAAATGTCTTTACCTCTTCCCCCATTGGTAACAGCATTGTTGAAGGTGGACTGTTATCGAATTTAGGCATAAATGAAGAAGAAAATGGTTGTAGAGGTGAAGGAAAAGTCAGCAGTGCCAGTGGTCATGGGAACGGTAGCCAAGACAACTGTAACCAAGGCAATCAAAAACAGATATATAACCATGGCAACGAGTTGCTTTCTAAAAGGGATGAACATAATTCCAAAGATAACAGACAAACTGTGACTGAAAATGAATTGGAGTCTGAAAAGAAATCTGCCAACTCCCAAAGGAAAGCTACCAGACTTGTGCGCCACTGCAGCAGCACTGATGAAATTGACTCAGAAATACCTGCTTCTCCAATATTTGGCAAACAGAACACCACCGATGGTCCAAATGATGTCAAATCTCCAGCTTTGTTTGATGATGATGATGATCATGGTCAAGTGGCTGTGGATCAGCCACATAGGCAATACGAATCACCATTCAAGAGAGGCAAAGGACCTGTCAAGTCCAAAAAACTGTCCCCAGGGATTGAGGGGTATGAAAGTGAAGAGTCACCTCTAATGTTTAAGAATATTGCCAATTTAAAACGTGGCTGGAAACCAGGACAGAAAAAGTCAAAATTGCCTGATGGTGAAAGGACATTGTCTCCACCTGGTGGTAAAACTAGACTTTTCATAGAATCAGGAGTTAGCGCGCCTCAGTCCAAGTCTCAACAAACTTTAGGGCCGTCTCGCAGATTTGAAGGAATTGATGGAGAAGACGATGAAAGAACTCGACCAAAAGCTCAAGAGCAGAACCAAGAGAAGTTTGTTAAGAGGAGATCAAAGAGACTACAGATGTTAGAAGTACCTTTCAGTGTGTCTCCACCGAGCTCTCCAAACCATATGAGGAAAAATCAGAAAAAAGAAGAACGGAAGCTGCTCCGTCAGTCTACTTTGACCCAGGGCTTCTTCTCACCGAAGAAGATCCCAGTGTCCAGTCTAGCAAATTATAATGGTGGCGTTCTCAAATCTGAAGCTGGTAAATTTGAGGAAGAGGATTTGAAGAAGGCTATCTTGGAATCTCTGGCAGATGCCAAGAAGAATGAAGAAGAGGATGATTTGGACCTAGCATTAAAATTATCACTACAAGAAAGCCACCGTGTTGAAAGCAGTAGCTCTGTACATGTAAACAAAGAAAGCTCTGCAGTGATTTCAAATGTAGGTGGTGATGCTGAGCAAGACAGTCCCTCTGCTGTGATACATAAAGAAGTCGATGAAAATACACCACCAAGGGAACAGTTTAAAAAGCCCAGAACACCCATTGGTAGTCCTTCAGCAAAGCAACAGTGTGCCTCCAAAGCCCATAGCCCAAAAAGTTTAAGAAACCAGAGACACAAAAGTCATGCCACTTTTGACCCCGATGAAACATGCTTGCCTTTTCTCACTCAGAGTCCTTCTGTGCCAATGATTTATCAGAATGAAGGCATGGACTTGAATGGTAGCATAGACCCAAGTGTGCGTCTCTCTGAATACGACATTGAGTCTCAAGATGAAACATTTTGTGATGATCCTCAGCAGGAAATGTCAAGGTCAAGGTCAGGGATGAGTTCAAATATAGCATTGGGGTCAAGGTCACATAATATCACAGATGCAAATGCCAGCTTGGACACAAGTGAAACCCTTCTAAATTGCAATCGAGGGGCTGGTGCAGTTCCTATACCTGATTTAGAGGAAGAATCTCAAGAAATAGACTGTACTCACAGAAGCGTTACTTTTGGCAAAGTTGATAAACATATCAGAAAAGGGGAGGAGTCCCAAATGATATCGAACAGAGAAAAAGATGACATAGAAACACAGCAGCATCAAGATGAAGAACCCAATCTGCAGAGAAACATAAAGAGCAAAGAGATGATCAGTAAAAGAGAGGGGGTTTTCAACAAGGGGAAGTGCCCCAGATACCATAGTGACAATGATGGTGATGTGACATTTAATGCAGCCTTAGACCTAGTGCATTCTGAGATGGATGAAGATTTGATGATGGAGAAAGGTATATTTGATGATAAATCATGGGAATTTGGTTTTTAGGGTCCTTTGGAGCCTAGGTTTTATTGATTTCTGCTTGTTTCAGTATTATGTCTAAAAAGAATCATAGTAGAAATTTGCCAAATGTTTTTTCTTTGGTGTAAGTGTCTATTTTAAAGTGGTCAATGGGGTGTCTAGAACATTTTGTCAGTTAGTACCGTAACACAACTTGTCAAGTCAGGTCCATTTCCAGTTGAAATGGAAACAGTCCTTTTTACACACATCTAAAGATGTAAAGTATTTATATGTTAAAATGTGTACCACTTTTTTCCTATCTTGAAAAGATAAATAATCGAAACGGGATACCCTTCCAGATGTTTCAGATTCACAACCGCAGGATGCCAATTTGCTAGATGACAGCTTTGACAGGTATGTTACCCACCAGATGGCCTTGTGGTTGGCATCTGCCTCCAAAGCAGGAGAACGTAGGTTTGACCCAGAACACAATGTTTCATCCAATCTCCAGATTTATCTTGGGTCAAACTTTCTTTCATAATAGACAATAAAGAATATTGCTATTTTTATAACAATATGCAACATTAAAAGCAAGGATAGTAATCTTTTAAACTAAAGCAGCTGTTTTTAAAGCAATGATGCCATTTTTGAAAACGGTCTTTTTAAAATCTGTATTTGATTAAATTATTGTATATTTTGGTACATTAGTTTAGCCACGTATAGTTTGGTCACCGTCATTGTGAAAATGTACTTGCACCAGAATATCGAGAATGATACAAAACTATTTTTTTTTTCATTTTTCTATGTCAGAGTACCAAAAGCTGAGGGCCCTGCCTATAAATATGTGGATGTGGTGAGGAAGAGGGATGATAGAAGAAAACTAGAGGCCTTTGACTGTCCTGAATGTGAAGAGGTACAAGAATTAAATGGGGGTTGGAGGAAGGAGGGTTAGGGGAGGGGGGGGTAAAGGGGGGTAGGGATTATATTCTTCATATGTACAGGTGCATTTCATTGGAAAAAAATAAATGTAAAGATATCTTTCCATTATGAGATTTACTGGCTTATTGATTTTCACTTGGCATCAGCTATTGCTTTGGTGTAATATTTTACATAAATCAGTTTTTTTTTCAATGTTGCAAAAATCCTACCATTATGGCTGCTTAAATTCAAGTGTGGTTTATTCCCCATTGTTTTGCAGTACTTTAAGGACATGAATCTCACAGCTGAAGAGAAACGGGAACGTGCAAAGCAGTGTTCTCGCCATCGAGCAAAATATGTGCCTCCTAGTACACCGCCCCACTTCTGGGACATTGGTTTCCCTGACACCCAGGAGTGTAAGGAAAGAGGTAAGGCATAGTAATATGTGGAACAAGGTAAGGCAAGTGTAAGGAAAAAGGTAAGGCAAAGGAGTGTAAGGAAAGAGGTAAGGCATAGGAGTGTAAGGAAAGAGGTAAGGCATAGGAGTATAAAGAAAGAGGTAAGATGTAGGAGTGTGTGGAAATAGATAAGACAAGAATGTATGGAAAGAGGTAAGACATAGGAGTTTAAAGAAAGAGGTAAGGCATAGGAGTGTAAGGAAAGAGGTAACAAAAATACAAAGAAAGGGGTAAAACATGCGTAAGTATAAAGAAAGTTGAATAAAGACGAATGAGTGTAAAGAAAATGATAAGACAAAGGACTGTAAGGAGAGTGGTAAGACACCCAGGAAAGAGGTAAGACAGGGAAACTTTTAAGAAATGGGTTTGCTGTATAAGAAATAAGACTCGTCTAAGACAGAGAGAGAGAGAGACAGAGGGAGGTAAATACAGGGTTCCCATTTCACAACCCGGTCTTGAACAGATATCATAGTTGACTTCACAGACAATTTTATAGAAAATATTTTACAGATGTGGCAAAGTCTACTGACTTGGGAATTCCGATGGACTTTCCGGTTTAAGATAAAAACAAACCATTACTTGAAAGCTGGAATGCAGGGATCTAAGAGCGCATTCCCAGAGATTAAGATAGATCCGTCCAGATCGACCTAACTCCCTAGGGGTTCACTCTAAATTGCAGTCAGCCAAGCGCAAACGACAGTTAATTACCCCCTTACAGCTTTTAGTAGGGGGGACAGATGCTTAAGCCAGCTAAGCTGACAGTAATCTAGTGAGACTCCCCACAGGGANAATTGAGTTTAAGCAATGAGTTTAAGAAATTTTCACTTTATCTCATTCTGGCATTTCCAAAGTTTAACTCTTATCAGCCTCAAGCCTTATGGACTATTTCCAGACCCTATCACGCTAACTGTGGATCGATGTATCTCCAAGGGAATTCTCGCTAAATTGCAATCAATGTAAGTGGCTTAGCTGTCTGTCACGCCTACTGAAACTGGCAGAATCCTAAGAATCCTAACTGCCAGAATCCTAAGCCGCTTAAGCTGAAAGCAATTTAGTGAGAAACCCCTTGGAGTTGGATTGATCCTGTTAGATTGATCTAGGTATGGGAACTCAGTCTAATGCTTGTTGCACATTTTACTTTCATCCTAATTCAATGTTATGCAGAATTAGAATTTGATGTTGGCTATGCAGTTACAGTAAGCATAATACGTTAATGCATCAAAATTGACAGTATCCTATTTCCTGCGCTTTTTTTCTGTTTTTTGTCTGTACATTTGACAGCTTTGCTGCCTTGTTTAAGCAAGACCAAGGATTATCCGTCAAGAAAAAAAATTCTTTTTCTACCCCCCCCCCCATGTTTTTTTACGAGCAAAGGCATAACTTAGAAGAAAGGTACGTCTCTACAGTCAAAAGCAAAAGTGCTAAAGTACATTGTAAATGAGACTTGTATAATGCATTTCTACAACAATGAGACAAAAACATATAGTGCTAAAGTACATTGTAAATAAGACTTGTATAATGCATTTCTAGAACAATGAGACAAAAACGTTTAGACATTTATTCCTTTTCGTTATTTGTAGTGCTGCTTGTGAGCATGCATAAAAGTTAAGAAAACCATCTTGCTGAAGCTGCATGTATCTTAAGCATTTGGAGAAAAATATGAATGACATCTTTCATTAAAAGATCAGTTTTGGAGTTTTAAATATTTTTATCAGTGCAATACATTAATGAAATTAATCAAATTGAAACAAAAAGGTGACAAAATATTTACTAAATTCTGCTAGACAATCTGATTAAATTTATTCGAATTCGTCCTTAGTTGTGTAGTGTAGCTGCCGTTGTTATGTTTGCTTTCCGGTAGTTCTATATCAGATATGATTAATCGTGTGTGCATTATTTGCATTTTTCATATGCGCACACCTTATTCATAATGTATAATGAATGTCTCTGTTCCGTCGATTTCCCGTTTTTTCGCATCTATGGTAAAGCGACCGTATGATTGTCCTTCCAATCCATACCAGGATGCGATAGTCTCGTACGTGTACAGACCTGATTTGAGGAGCATGGCTGGCGTTGGTGTTTTATACTCCAAAGGTTTCATATATTGCAAATAGCCCACTACCATACGATCTGCCTGAAATGGAATTATCAATAGCATTATTACAAATTAAAACTATCTCCAATAATAATTCATATAGCTAGATTGGATTGGAGAGAGGGGGGGGGGGGGGGTCGAACGAAAAGGAGGGAGGAGAGAGAGGTCGGATTCTTATCAACGTACTCCCCCTTCAAAAATACTGGATTCACCTTTGGTAGGTGTTGGCCGGGTAATCATATCTTGCCACTCTGATTCAGTGTGTGTTGACAAATGCTTGATGTCCATTTGAACGAATATTAGCGTAACTTGCCCCCCCCCCCCCTCGCACGGAGTTAGCAAGAGAGACGCGCGTTGTGCAAGACGCACGTCGCAAGCAATGAAGGAACAAGTGCCCTTTGCGTGTTGAGTAAGGCGCACGCCCTCACAACTAACAAACAAAGTCGAGGAATGCGTCGCACGTGCGTCACCCCCACGCCTGGTGTATAAAGGGCGTGCTCACGACGCACGCTCGTGTCTTTACAATGAACGTCGACTGTGTAACGTGTACAACAATTTTCAATTTTTTTTTCTCAATTTAATTTCTAATATGCCTCCAAAAGGCAAGAGAAAGAAGCTTACATCGTAGAAAAAAGGGAGAAGGAAGAAGAAAAAAAGAGGAGAACAGGAAGCAAAACTGACGTAGGGGAGAGCGGGGTGGGTTGGAACGCGGGTAAGTTGGAACATTGGCTTTATTTCTTAAATCACAAGACCGATCATGTGCTCCTTCAGCATAAAAATGTCACGTGGCATGGTCATTCATCCGGTAAACTTGTGGAAGTTTCGAAAATGCAGTAAAAGTTTTATGCGAAAAAAACTTATTTTCGCTACTCGAAGTAAGTTTTCATATTTTTGACATTCATCGTGCTGTAAACTAAAGTATAAGGATTATATCACTGAAATTGTGCATAGCGTTTAGGACCACCTTGATGTTCAAAAGGCTGTTGTTTTTTTAATCACTTCCCACGTGTTAAAGAAATACAGTGTCATAAGTAGACCATGACGTCATGGGGGCTGGTCGGAACATTTGACATGGGGCCAGTTGGAACACTGTCAGGGGTGTTCCAACCCACCCCGCACGTTGTTTTTCATTTTTTAAACCTCTGTAAATGTTTTAATTTCAACTTTGAAGAGAGTAGTAACGTAGTAACTCAGTACAACTCCAACTGGAGACGGAATCTAGCTGATAGAACTCCGAGATTCCGGAATGTACATGCGTGTAGAAGGTAAATGCTTTGTGTAATGGATTGGGGGTTGCTGTTAATGTTAAGTGAACGAGGGTACAAAATCCGCCAGAAAAGACAAACATTCACCTCGTAACTTAGACAAAGATTCAGTTGAAATCTCAGTTGCCCTCACCGGAAGAGGTGCTACAGCACACAAAAGCTCACTTAAGAAAACCCCCAAACAGCTCAAGTCCAGCAATAATTAGACCGGTTCCAAAGGCTCACCGTCGCATTCCAAAGATTAAAAGAAGAAAACGATGCAGTGCGGTACTAACTGACACACCTGACAATGAGCTACTCGAAAAAGAAAAGGCCAAGCCCAACAAAATTAAAAAGGACAAGCGCAACAAAAATAAAAAACAGTTAAAGATTTCTAGTCGATAGAGAAAATCAAGAAAAGGGAAATTAAAGATGACCAGCGATTCTGAGTCAGAAGAAGAGTGGCCATGTCTGGTTTGTGGGGAGCCGTTCATTAACAGCCGACCAAAAGAGAATTGGTTAAATGCATTGTTTGTCTAAAGTGGTCACATGAAGACTGTACAAAGGTTGACCAAGTGTAGGGCCTACATATCTCACNTACGCCGTCAGTACGTCACCACAAACGTGTGAGGCAAGTGTGAAGCAAAACTGACGCAAAAGGACACTACTTTCGCCGTGCGTTGCATTCCCTTCGTAAGAAGTGTGTGTGTGCCACGCACACAGGAAGCAAGACAAACTCAAGAAATGGGTACAATTTCCACGGCTATCACTCCTTGCAGTAAGCGTCCCTGCTTGAAAGGACATCTCATGTGGCCCTTGCGGCTCACAAGACAGGCTTTCCTCTACCTCTACGACATCCACGGCCTCCGCAACACCCAAAAATCGCAGGGGACGTACGATCATGAAATTCGAGTGCGTCCGGTTGTGACCGAGGCTATACTTATGTTAACTGGTAATGTATTATCATTAGTATTTTTTTCTTTTTAGTTCTTTCACGTTACTTTTATTTCCCTATTTGCAATAAACAGTGATCCAGTGAAATAACTTCTGCCTTTCTTCGGTCTTTCTTTATCTGAATAGACCTCTCGAGCTATATAAAAGGTGTATACATGTAGCAAGGGCGGAAAGAGGCCGTCTTCTGAGTTCTTCGGAAGACGGGCAGATTTTCAAGTTTACATTGACGGGTATAAATTTTTTTCTGTCAGAAGACGGCCAAAAAATGGAGGATGGATCAACAAAAATAACTTGGAAGACTGTCAGAAAATATCTCTGGATCCGCCCCTGTATAGGAGCTTCTCTTCTCAAACATGGTCGTCCAGGATTTGCTTTTGTACAAAGAAGCTCACAATGCAAGCGCGATTTTTGTGTGGTTGGGGAGTTTCTTATTTTCTCTTTACCGACATGAAAGCTTCGCCATGTTCGAAGCAGCCTTTCCCATTCTTTTTCCAAGCCCTGTATCCAACGATACACAACCTAGATTGATAAACTATGGAACATTTCCCAGAGTGACGTCACTGATAAGGAAAGTGGGTGAGGCATCAAAGTCAGGGTGCATTTCTTGTGTGTTCTTTAGACTGATACATGTTTGAAGTCTTTACATGCATTGAACTGCTAGTCTTAAAGGATCTGAATTTCTGTTTTACTTTTTGAAACCAGGGCCGTATCCTCCGGGGGGGCAGGGGGGGAGGGGCAGCTGCCCCCCCCCCCCCTGGGATTTAAGGTGCAAAATAAATAAATAAATAAATAAATAATCGCAAAGGTAAAAAAAAAATAATTGCAAAGTTGGTATCAATTCTGTGAGAAAATGCCCTCATGGCCACTAGACAATCATTCAACAATCTGTTTACAAAGGTGTACTGTTTACTTGTGTGTACTTAGCGGATTGGCTCTTTTGCTTGTCCACAGAGGAAGAAACGTTATTCCTGATCCTGAGACAATCTACGAAATGAAGTCCAATTGGCGTGTTGTGTTGAAAAAGATGACTGTACATATGGCAA